AAAATTTTTTATTTGCCTTATCCTATTCGTCATGGGAAAGACAGGCAGAAATCTGAAAGAGATGATTCCCTGAGATCTTGTCCAATACCACTTGTACCAGAAATGCATCTCCTTCGACGACCCTTCCACCCTAGTCCCCCTCCCCTTACGCTTGCTAATTTTTACACAGGACTACTACTTTACAATCTAATTTGATTGAAAGCTCTCAATCAAATTAGAGATCTCCCGCCATATTGGACTTTTTGTTTTTCCAATACAGTCGAGGACTCTTTTAAGATGACTTAAACGGCTCCCATTTGAGGGGAAGCTGTTCAGATCCCCGAAGTAGACTTCAATACCTATGCGAATATCGGAATCTTCCTTTATCCGAAGGCGCTAAAGCCCTCTTTATATAAAGAGAGGGCTTTTTCAACAATGCTTTCTATCTTTTTAGAGCATAAGTTGAAATGGCCCTCTGTTAACCGCCAATCCACTCCTTAGATGAAATCAGATCCTTCAAAATCTTTTTTTCATTTTCTATATGCTGCTTGTCGAGAGTTTGGAAAATCTCATCTTGGGATATTTAGCTTTCAACCACGGGAAAGGAAGCTGAAATAGTAGGAGTTTACCTTATAGCAGGACACTCGCCCGTTGACAACTCTTTCTTAGGTTACTAATCGGTGACTTGCTTCGCCCAGGGGAATCTATACTGTTTCATCCCTGTTGGTTCAGGCCTCCTCTTCCATCCCGTGTTTTACTTACATTCAAATTGAGTGCTTTTTTTTTTGTCTCCACTTGAGTCTTAGTTACTGGTAGCAATTTCATGACATTGCCCCACTGTAACTGGACAGCCAAATCGTACATCCTAAATATTATCCCGTACCTGACCGAATCATCCATGTTCGCAGGTCGGTAATATGTACGGATAAAGATCGGCACATCCATAAAGACTTCAAGCTCTATACTGGCACTAAGCCTTAGCATACAATTCCATCTTTGATACTACAGATAAAGCTTCATACACCTATGGTACAGAGTGTATTCATTGAATACTTCCATACCTGGATAGGCAAACACCTGACTAGGAAAAAGTCTCGACTGAAAGAAGAGGAGGAAGGATAGGATATTTCGGAGTATCCTACCCTCCACATGAGGGTGCAATGGAGCACCTAACACCGTGGATAACCCAATACGCAAGCTACTTTTATTTGAGTGCGCATAGATCCTCACCACCATCAGCCTCTTGACATAACGTTTGTGTCGAAGAGACGAAGTTCCCGCGGTTCAGAATGAGCTTCTGCGCCGGAAGCCCCCGAATCTTACTCAGTGGGCATCATAAAGAGCTCTAAAGGGGAGGAGAGGACCGGAAAATAATGAGTCAAGCCTGAAAAGAAAGTCGAACCGCGAAGGCAAGTATCCTCGCCCCCGCGATGGGAACTTTCAATAAAGCACAGTAGAGTGCTTTACCTACCAAAGGTATCTATAGAATGAAAGAATCATTTTATGCTTCCTTGGCCATGTACAACATGGATTAGCATTATGTCATTCCTACAATTCCTACAAGTGATCCACCTTCCAGTATTTGAAGGAGAGGACTTCGATATATTATATAATATATTTCTTTCCATTCCTCGCGAGCCACTTATTTCTCTGAAACAAGAGATCAAAGTGATTTTCCTCCTTTTTCCCAATAAGTCGACGACCTTACACCATTGGGATACTTCGAATAAACTAGCGTACATATAGGATACACCAGTGCTAAAACCTTTTCTCACGAGATCTTCCAAACTGTTGGGGTCCTTGCTCCGGATGGTCTTCCCCCGGTGTGAAAGCAGTTGGTTCCGTAGTTTTAGAATTCTGCTGATCCCAAGTACTCCATCTCCATCATTGCATATGAAAATATAGAAAGTAAAGAAGAAAAGGCATAACCAGAAGAATTGTGAAAAATAAGTGAATTTATCCAGTTGAGGCATGATTAGATGAATTGATTTCAACAAAATCATTCCCTCCAGACAGCTTGACTCCGTCAAGCCTCTAGGAGTAGTGAAGAACTATAGAAAGTTGTGGTTGGTTGTTAACCAACAAAAGCATAGGAGAAAACTCAGAACATGGGGCATAGAGATTTCTTCTCTTATGACATTGATAGTTTGATCGCGGTTCCAGCGACGGAACGAGACTTCAAATGGCAGCAAAATGATATGGAGGCTGAAGACTCAACCTAAGATTCGAACACTCCTTTGGCGGATAGCGAGAAACGCACTTCCCTAAGGGTTGCTTCGCTAATATCATCCCTGACCCGGCATGTAGTCGTTGCGGTCTCCCAGAATCCTCCATACATGTGATGAGGGACTGTGTTTTCGCACAGCAGGTCTGGGCCCTTGCACCTGTTATGGGATGGCACCATATGCAAGAGCCGACGACAATAGGTTTCATCGCTAATGCTCATTGTTTAGTAGGTCTTCCTCCATCAGGTATATCTAAAAGTCCCCTCTTTCCTTGGCTTTGCTGGAATCTGTGGAAA